AAAATTGATATTTAAAATTATAAAATAAAATTATAAAAATTATCAAATATGTTCCTCGGTATATCGCAATATAATTATGATATCGCATTAAACGACTCGCGCCACTAAAACTAGAAATAATCGTTTTATTAATCGAAGAACATTAAAAATGGGAAGAATATATTATTTTACTTATTCGTAATATTCGTTTTATTTCGGCAGTTAGACGACGGTTGGCGCGACCTTGTGTTGAGGATGGTACGGGGTGGCACGGAGCGGCGCGTCATGTTTACGTTTACGCGTAGTTACTGCGCGGTCCCTTACTGAGATTCTTAGAAATAGGTAATCGTGTCGCGTGCGGTTCTTTCACATTATTTTTTAGTTATCGCGCAGTTATTATTCCCTTACCGAACCTCGTACAAACAACGTAGCTGTGTCGCGGCTTCTTTTCACATTACTTTTTGAAATCTTATCGCGAAGAATGCTAAATATAATACGAAACGTTGTACTTTATGAATAATTAATTATTCTAGTAATCGAATTACGTGAATATTCATAAAATACAACATTTCTTATTATATATCTAGCATTTTTTGCGATTATTATACAATATGTTTCAAAAAGAAATGTGAAGAAGAGCGGCATGCGACACGGCCGCATTTGTCTGTACGAACGGTATCATACGAGTCATAAAAAAAGCAACGTTAACATGAATAATACTCTCATGCAAATAACGCAATTCCTGCTTTCAGAATTAATATAGTTTAATAATTTAATTATTTTTTTTTTGTTTTTGTGCACCTTCCGTTATACGAGTATACCTTCCGTTTAAAAATTAAACGTAACTCTTTGAAACTATTATTACCGATATAATAAAATAAACATTTCTCTTTTTTTATAGCTCACTTTATTAACTCTAATCATATTTTACAGACATCATCTATAAATAAAAGATTCAACCCTTTTATCTGCTCTGAATTTATTTCGCAATGATAACGAATTGCAGACATGTGTGATATTCGTTTCTAAAAATTAATCGATTGCATAATAATTGCGTAGTATAGATAATAGCTATATATTTCTCACTATATTATTTTCCCTCTCATGGGTACACCTTGACGTGATGGGAGGGCTCAGTACCCGGAAGATTTACACGAAAAGAATGGTTTTTCTCAAGTATCTAAAAATTGTCGGATCTATCTGAATGATATTTCTAGATAAAAATTTAGATACTTGAGTAAAATCATTCTCTTCGTGTAAAAAATAAAAAAGTACGTTAGCTTCCACGGGGAAGATTTACTTGAAAATGAACGAACCGCAGCCGGTTCGTCGCGTCGCGCGTTTGCATCGGGAGTGTCGTTTAAGTTATCGGACTCAAGTTATAGTCCGCGCGCGATTATAGTTTTATTCGCGAGTGTTTTACGCGAGTAACCTGTGCGTGAGATGTCAACGCTTTTCTGAGAGGAGGAGATCTAGGAGAGGCATCAGCACCGTCGGAACAATCTTGCGGTAAATATTTTTTTTCTTGTGTAAAATTAATTTTTTTTTTATAGAATATATAATTATTCATATCATTGTATTTGACATTGATTTAAAAATGATTATTTTTAAATCATTGTTAAATAAAATGATTTGAATAATTATGTATTCTATAAAATAATTATATAAAATGATTTTGCAAAATAATTCTATAAAATATTTCTATCTAATAATTATGTATTCTCTCTCTCTCTTAAATAATTATATATATAAGGAGAATTATTTAAAATTTAGATAAAATAATTATATATTCTTTAAAATAATTATGTATATTTTCTAAAGATTTTAGCAAATATAAATTTGTATAAAATTTTAAAGTAATTTTTAAGTAACTCTCCTTTTATTTGAATTAGAGATAATACAATAAAGAATAACATTTAAAAAGTTAGTGCAATTTCATTAGCGAAATACAAATAATAATTAGACATAAAAATAAAAAAATTAATTAAAGATAAATTAAAAATACACTTACCTGCTAAAACGAGTTATTAAATTTATTAGTTTGTTTTATACTTAAAGAATGAGTACACTTACAAGAAAAGAGGACCGTTGATAAAGTTGACGGGGGTGGTGGAGGGTCTTTACAGCTCGTTTTTGCTAAATTATACTTTAAATGGACAATATATGTTTAGAAGAGATTGAATTTATTAAAAGTCTCTGCTAATTACTAGTAATTATAGAGATTTTGAGACATACTAGTAATTATAGTCGGCACGCTTCTGTCTGTCCTGAGGATTTAGTACAGAGACGAAACACATCTACTTTCGACGATATGATTTTATCGATAGTATCAGCAAATGTATATAGTCACGTAGTTCCCAAAATGAAATAGATGTACGAGCGATTTCGATTATAACAGGAAAAAGGCCGGCATGGCCTCTCTCAGGTTTCTCTCTGATAGAAGCCGACTATCCATAGGACTTAGAAGGGATAATTTAATGAGTCTTTGAACGAAAAAATTTTAATTTCGCATCTTCTACATATGTAAATAAAAATTATTGAATTTTAATAAATGAAACTGAAAATTCAAACAAGTTAATTTATATAACTTTTGTCTTATATTTATTTTATAATATTTTATAAAATTACAAAGTTATGTTTCTTCATACAAATTTTCAGCCCGTTTTTACCAAACATAATTACTAGTATGTATCAAAGTTTCTATAACTACATTAGCAATTATAGAGACTTTTAATCAATTCAAACTTTTCTAAACATATGATATCAATTTAAAGTATAATTTAAAAAAAAGCAAAAACGAGCTATAGAGAGTTTCCACCACCTGCGCCAATTTTATCGGCGGTCCTCTTTTCTTTGTAATGTCTCGGGCAGACAACAAATTATTGTAGGAAACTTTATCAAAAGAAAATTAAGGTGTGAATTTCAAATTTTAACACTCCTTAATTTAATGTAAGTGCGTGCATGTACAATGGATACGTTCAATTCGACAAAGCGGCTAGGCTGTTCGTCAAGCAAATGAATATGATTGATTGTTACTTATAGATACAATCAATCACATTCAATCGTTCGGCGAACAGGCTAGTTGCTCGCTTTGTTCGCGCCCAATGTATGTGTATATCCTACCAAATCTAATGAGTAGAATAGATGGGAAAGTACAATCAGCCGTTTTTACTAAAACGGTTTTTGACAACGCAACAGCTTATTCCGCGTTGTCAGTTCGCAAGTGTTTTAGTAAAAACGGCACGACTATATTTCTTCACTTACCTTCACCAGATTTGGCCTCTTTTGACTTTTTCCGTTTCCAAAAC